AAGTTCCCTTGCCTGTCACACCTCCTTTATACCTCTCCCTGACCGGAATCGCGTGAGAGCAGTGAAAAACAAGTTTGATGGTTGCCAGGAGGACAGATTTAATTAAAATCTGTTTTTCCATCATCAAAGCAGTCTGTGCAACAGAGCGATGGCTTCATAAAAACATGTCCTTCAAAACCTGGGTCACTGTAACCTTAAGATTGGGCCAGATCTTCTGGTTAGAGCATCCCCCAGAGAACTTTAATTACTCCAAAACACATCTGCAGCACAGGCCTGACTTTAAGCAGATAAGCTGCATCAAAAGTGAGTATAAGTATTAATTGACATAAAAGCATCAAAATAATCATTCCTATATCAAGGCCTATCATCATTACTAAAGCGTATTCTAGTAGATTAAATTAGGGATGCATGATATTGGATTTTTGGCTGATAACCAATACCTTTACTGGTATTTCCCCCCTAGACCCACTTACAGAGATTACACAGCTTTTTCTGCTGTGGAATTAAAACACTACATTATTCTGCAGGTCTTTGTCAGTTTGGGTGCTACCAAATGCAGATGCCAAAAAGGGTCTGAAAACGATGTCACACTTCAACTTGGATTATGTTTAATGTCAAATTTATTCATGACATTTACTCTTTCTAACACAATGTCAACACCCGAATGGTGCAACTTTGTAAATTTTCACAAATCTAAAAACCTGTTCACAAGTGAAAAGCGCATAAGTATTAGTGCATTAATAGATCTTATTGACAGTTTCTTCAATTAAAAAGTAACTTAAAACAGAAGCCTTTCATATCGGTGAGTTATTTTGATGGAATGGCTGATATTTAACTTTATCTCTAATATCGGCCGATAGCACACTGATAATATTGTGCATCCCTAGATTAAATCATAAACACTGAGGCGGCTGCCAAGCTGTGCATAAAGCATGGCTTAGAATACAGATTTCCACATTTTCAAACCTTAAACGTAAAAATAGGCCTCGCTTTTCAAAAACTGGCTGAACAAAACACAGATTGCTGGTCTCTTGGTCACAGACACTGCGAGTTCAGTGAGACTGCAACTGAACGTTCACCAACGCTTTCACAGTTTTGAGTCTCCAACAATTGCAGCTTGATGAGATGCCACCTTCTGTCACACCCTTAGGATTTGTACAGCCTTACACTGTGACGGCGCAAAAACTTCATAGTAATCACAGTTTCCCACCTCTAGTCTTTTTATCCGACCCTCGATGCGTACGTCTACTAAAAACTCTGGATTATGAAGCCACACTTGTAATAATCACACATTTCTGCTGGAGTAAAAAAGACAAAACTAGATGAGTTTGAAGCTTTATTTTTTATTCAAGACCACCTTCCTGAAGCCTGAGTTATTTTTTCTTTAAAGGAACTAAAAACTTTTGTCAGATTGTAAATAATTGAACCCCTCTGAACTTGCAACATAAGAAACAAACCTGCAGAGAGTCATACTTCTGATCCAATGTTTTTACAAATATAGTTTTTAAAGATGTATATAATAATCTGATCGGATCTTATCACCAGTAGTTTTGTCGCGATAGACAATAAATCAGTTAATCGCATGATAAATGAAAATTATCAACTTCATTTTCATTTATTGGCTTTATTGTTTCTTCGTGTCTCTTTTTCTACTGAAGACACTGGATGACAAAAGGCTGGTGCTCCACTAACCCATCCCTTTCTCTTTTCGCTTTAAAATCTGTTTTAACCATCCAAAATCACATTTTTGGAACGTTTAAAGTAGCTAAGCTTCGAGCTAAGCTAACAGGCCGACCTCGGGAATAAACCTCCGTCTTGTCAAAGCTCCAAAATTCACGGTTGAAACCTGCGCCTTCTTCTAAAAAGTTGTTTTTCTCTGCAAAAAGAAGCTGAGAACTTGTTGACTGATTTTTTTTAATTAAAAGCTTTGTGTGACAAATGCTATGCTAAAGAGCTCAAACCACACCGAGCGTCCGCCATTTTGAGAATCGAAAAACAGGAATGAGAGACAGCCCATGTCACGTCAAGGGGCTTCCCTCCCATTTTTCTTAGAGACATGCTGCTCGTTCCCTCACTATCCATCCTTTGGTTCAAACAGTCTTATACTGCCGTCAGGTGGTCAAAAAAGTTACTACACAAAAATTAAACATTTCTTCATAAATTTGACTATAATTACTAATTATTGTCAAATTTCAAACAATATTATCGTTTATCGCAATAATTTCTAAGACAATTAATCGTCCAGCAAAATTTGTTATCGTGACAAATCACCAGTAAACTGTTTTTTTTCCACTATGGGAGTGGGACTCGGTTTGCTTGGTGGCTCCTCCGATTGGAAAAGTCCTTCGGATGAAGGACGAAACGTCTCAACAAAAAAAAGAAACTGTCCAGATGACCTGACTGAACATTGTTGGATTATTACCTGGATTATTGAGCATGAACTTTGGTGTATAATGATCAGAATTTAGTAACGTTGTCCGTTTTTAGAAAAAAATGAATAAATAAAAGATGAACCCCCCTTTTATGTTTGAAAGTCGAAGCATAGGATGGGATTGTAACACAAATTATGGACTGTAATTCATTAATTTCTGCAATTTTTCTGACTTTTTATCTTCGTTAATGTTGGATTTTATGACCAGATGGAAAATTAATATCTCTAACTGAATTCTCTAATTCTGTAAATGTGATATTATTAAAGTATTTATTGTTTCTGCAGCGTGCAGGCTGAGATCCAGGAGAACGGTCGGTGCTGTCAGGACTCTACGAGGGAAGACTCATTCGTCTCCAGCACCGGAGCCGATCGGTTCTCAGAGACCGCCACTTTCAGCGGCTCACGCAGCGAGATCCACAGTCGTACCGTCCCATCCCATGATCCGGTGGATCAACTCCCAGATTCTGATTCCAAGCCCCCTCCATCCACACTCGAGATGCCGTCATGTGAGGAGCAACCCAAGGTTCAGGCACCCAACGAAAAACGCCAATCTTCTGATTTGCACTCGGAAACGACCTCAGTTAGCCAACTTGTCGAGGCTGCGGAGGAAAAACGTTCAACTGTTGTCCAGAAGAATTCAGAGCTGCTTCAGGAAATCAAGCGGACAGAAACTTCCGAGAAGAACTCAGAAAGCCAAAAACGCAAAGCATCGCACCGCTCTGGAAGCATCGTCAGCAGGAAACCGTCCACAGATTCACTCGCAGTAAGTCACTTAAAGACTGTGCTCATGTGCAGATTTTATGGATTTTGCAGATAAGAAACAAACGGAATTGTTATTTTTTCCTGAATTAGTGCAATTTTCTCAATAATTCCTAGAAGAGTTCTGAGTTGACAACAATTACAAAAACGATAGTCATTCTTTAAAGTTAGTCACGAGGAGCCACAGAAGACCTGTCTTGACAGAAAAATGCTCAGAATGCCTCAATCAGGCAGATCAGAAATGAAACTGCTCTTGTGGCAGTTTGTTGGCTGATAACATAAAGTACACAGAGTTACTGTACTGCACTGTTAAACAAATACCTGGTAGGAAAAAATCAAAAGTTCATCGTTAACGTGTGATTTCCAAACAGGAAGAGCTGCAGGATATGTAGAAACGTTTTGAACCAATACTTTGTTGCCACACCTTGGCTGTTCCGTTAAGTTGGTCAAGATAAACGGACACACGATTTATTTCATGCAATCCTTTTCTTTTTAAATAAAGCAAAAGTCTGAGGTCTGCAACCATTTTGATCCAAAATGCTCAGTAAAACGTGTCTGGAGCCACAAAACCTGCAACAACTGTGATTATCAACTGATGGCCCATGGGCCGCTGAGTTTGTTGGGGGGGGGGCTTTTCTAGCCAGTGGGGGTGACATTATAAAACTAAAATTACATCATGAATTTAACATTTATTGGTATTTTTACATTTTAAGATGAAAAAAACGACCATTTCATGTAAAGAAGGAAAATAATTATAGTTTATACCGATATGGGTAAAAATGAAAACGCTGAGCTCTGCAGGACTATGTGAGGGAAAATAAATAAGTATCGTGCGGGGCTGCGGTAGCTCGGTGGCCAGTGCAGCCGTCTTGTAATCTTGAGGTTGCGGGTTTGAGCCCGAGTTGCATCTGGCGTAAAACAAATTGCATGCGAGTGGTGACCCCTGAAGAAGAGAGCAGCCGAAAGAAACTGACTACTTCAACAATTTCTTGTGGGATCAATAAAGCTCTTATCTTATCTTACTAGTAGTTATTGGGCAAAAATTTACAAACATTTGACAATAAAACTGCCAAAACTACGGTAGCCTTTTCTGTGGTGGGTTTAAAAATCAGTAACATGCCATTAAGTTTTGGTGAAAGCTTCAAAGAGCCGCCTATGAGGGACTAAAGAGCCACATGTGGACCCCGAGCCGCAGGTTGCAGACCCCACGTGCAATTTAACAGGAATAAATTTCATTTTTCTGATCATTAATAAGTAAATCCGTTCTTAAAGTTATTGATTGTGTCAATTTGAGCGGATTATTCTACTTTTTGCAGCATTCTCATTCGTGGATTTCTGACGACGACATCTTCAAGCCCAACTTGGAGCAGGTGCCGGACAGCGATGAGACGACTCTGTCCGCTCCTGCAGCCGAGCCTAGTGTTTGTCAGTCTCCTCCCAGTGTCATCCATCGCAGACAAATGGGTATTTTACAGTCTTTGATTTTTGAAACCTATCGGCCACAACGCAGATGATGTAACAACTGGAGTTTTCTAGTTAAAGCTGCAAATTATTCTCTCACTCGACTGCGAGAAGAGAACGTCATTTATTCTTGCAGCCCTGGTTTGGGAATTCCTGCAGCTTGTTCTTGACGCATCACCTTGTGTGGCGTTCGACAAGTGTTATGCAATTGGTCAGAAATTTGAAGTGGGCGTGGTTAATGCAGGAAAACGAAAATGTTGAATTTCCTGCTGTTGGACTTGCCAGGAATTTTGCACTTGACGTATAAAGTATCCTGGCCACGACTAGCTTCGTTCTTGTTCTTGCTACCGCAACAAAAATAAACTTTTTTTTTTTTTTTTGAGTATGCAACAAGATTTAATTCATTTTGTTTTGTTCAAAAATAAAGCCTTGAAAACAAAGTCATGCACAAAATTCAGAGCTACTTCTAAATCCAATTTCAGATCAGTTTCTGGAAAATTGTTATAATAATTTCTGTTTTGTTTTGGGGCTGTAGCGGCCATCTTGAAGTGGATTATCTCCAAACTATGATCGGTTGTAGATGTATATCCAGTCATTACTTTCTGATTGTTTTATTAAAATTATGGTTCATAAGACATTTTGCTAATAGGCAAACAAATAACCACATACACATTCTGGCTCTTTAAAGCTAAAAAGTCAAGAAATAGAAGAGGTTAACCCTTGGGACAAAAAAAGCTTCTCTAAATCTTATAATAGTAGATGGATAATAAAACATGTCAGTTGTCAAGTAAGAAGTCAGTACTACAGTCAAGGAATTTATAAAACTGGATAGTCGGCATACTTATAAAAAACATTCCTGCAGGATTGGACTGTGCAATGAGAGTGCGGCCACACCTTGGCCCGAGTTAATCCAGCAGGTAATTCCCATCCCGTCGCAAATTAGAAAGCCACTTTTCTTACATAAGCTCTGGGTGTGACCAGATCGCAATAAAATGTAGCCTTGCAAGACGTCAGTCCTCTGGAGAAACCCAATGTTGGGAACAGCAACACAGATAGTGAGTTTATGACGTTCTGTTGCGGGGAAGCCGCTGCTGGACGGCGGTTTCTTTATGATCATAAAACCATGTTTTTAGGAACAACTGCTGTGTAATCTCACTTCACATATATCCACCTTTCTAGACTGCCTGAATCCTCATTTTGTATGCTTGGTTCCTTAAAACTCGATGTTCAGTTTTAAAAGAACTGCCGTATTTTTCAGATTATAAGGCACCATATCAGTGAACGGGTCTTCATCTGCGTATATTTTTTGATCAGTCTTTTTTTTTTTTTTTTACAGTAATAACATGAAGAAAAAAAAAACATACAACCAAAACAAAACAAAAAAATCCCTCCCCCCTCCCATACCGGATCAGCCGAACAGGCACAGATGTATTTACACAGGCACTGACACACTTTCAGTAAAAGCCAGAAATGGCTGCCGCGTGTCCCAAAATCTTCCAACAGATCCCCTCACAGTGTTTCTGATCTTTTCCAATATGACACACAACTTCTCTTATCCAGTGTTCATATGTCGGGGGATGCAGATCCTTCATCTGCATAAAATAAGTGTGGCTAGAAGAGAGATAAAAGCAATCGCATTGCTCCCGTACTTGCTGAAGGATGCATCCACAGGGGACACTCCAAACAGTGAAATGAATGGTGACAGGTGCACAGATGGTCGTCTGCGTTTTAAACTGAGATCACCAAATGACATAGTTGTAGCTGTTTTGGTTGAACCACAAGAGGGTAATGTTGTATGTAAACAGATTGGCTCGGTGTATGTGTTGTAAAGGAATCTCAGCTACTACCACACACCAAATGTTTGGACAATATCTGTAAAAATGACCGAGTTAGAGCCAATTTTGTGTTGGCTAAGCTCAGTTGGCTGTGGCAGCCATCTTTATCTGTATTGGTTCTAAAAGTTTTTTAGTTCTATAGGTACATTCAATGACTATATCTCAAAAGTTGAATTAAAATATGCCCGGTGGACTCCCTCAGTAGCTGATGCAGCTTTTGACACCTGGGTTTTGGGAGGCGTGCATTCACTGTGCGATCTCTATATTGATGGTTGCCTCTTTTGAACATCTGGTGCAGAAGTTTAACATTCACAAGTCACGGTTTTTTAGATATCTGCAGCTGAGACATTTTGTGAGGTCTAACTCTTGACTGTTTTCCTTTGTACCTCTCTAAACATTTTGTGGCTAAGATTTTAGAGTGCAGGTCTGATACCAAGGGGGCCATTAGCAACTTCTATACACTGCTCAGTTCATACCATGAGTCCAGGTTGACCTCCCTTAAATTGAAATGGGAATTAGACCTGGAGGAATCTATATCAGACTCAATCTGGAGAAAGATCATTAAGAACATTAATTCATCTTCAGTTTGCTTGAGACAAGCTGTAATCTAATTCAAGATAGCGCACTGGCTGCACTGGTCCAATGACAAGTTGTCCAAGATCAAAGCCGACCTGGACCCTGCATGCAGTCATTGCAAACAAACTCCAGCCACACTCTTGCATACATTCTGGACCTGTCCCAAACTGCAGACTTTGGCAATCTATTTTTGACACCTTCTCTGGAATATGTGGAAAAACTGTTCAACCATCACCGTTTATCTCACCGTTCGGGGCGCTCCCTATGGACACGTCCCTCAGCAAATGTTTTTTGTTCTTTTTTTTTTTTCTTTTGTTTGTTCAAAAAACCCCAAAAAATTCAATAAAAAGTCTTTGTTTTTAAACAAACAAAAAAAAAACTCTGCGCAGTGGTTAGTTACATACTTTGCTAACAGACATACATGAGAAATAGACAGGAATAAGACTAACTTAGTTATAACGTACATCAAAGTTGGATTACCGTAAATAGTCACATTTTTAACCAAATAGCCACTGATTTTTACAACGGTTAGTTTTCCTTACGTCTCACGATGTTTCTGTCTCCATCAGGGCTGTCCAATCCCTTCCGAGGCTTGCTGAAGCTCGGTCCTCTGGAGCGGCGAAGCCCGATGGGGATGTGGCGCGACTTCTACTGCGAGCTCTCCCCCTTCGAGTTCCGCCTGTATCTGAACGCCGAGGAGCGGACGTGTTGCGACAACTTCTCGCTGCTGCGGTGCGAAGACGTTCGGATCACCTCGACAGACGGCCGCTTCGACTTGGTCTTTTCTGGGAAGCGGGTTTACCTCCGAGCGGCCAAACGAGACGAAGCCGAGGACTGGATGGACCGCATCATCGAGGCCGTGAACAAATGCCACCCAGCGACACGTGCCGACGAGCACTGGGAGGTGTTGCAGCCGTCCAGTAACGGTGTGGACGAGCGCATGCTGTCCTCTCCGTCCTCCGCCTCCTCCAGCCCTGAGAGACGCCTGTCGTCCTCTGACACGAACGGAGGGCGGGACTTAACTCCTCCCCTTCAGGAGTTTGGCTGGACTCGTACTACAGACCCAGAAACAGATGCTGTCAAAGAAGCAGTTTTATATTCGTCCACAGATCCTGAGGCCAAAACGTGGACACCTCTGGTCTTCTCTCTCTCCTTGGAGGCTCTGAAAGGCTTCCGGGTTCAAGAGGGCAAGAAGTTATTGCGGATAACTCATCCTATTGAGGAGATCCGGGACGTGGTTCCTGATGTCTCGCAGGGAGGAGCGGACTTTTTCAAAGTCCTGACCGTTAAGCAGACACTGAGATTCAGGGCGGAGAACCCCAAGGAGGCTCGCTCCTGGAGGGACCTGATCCGCGGAGCTTTGGACTCGTACTTGGAGAGCGGAGAGGACGAACTTTCTGAGGAAAGCCCTCCAGTTTCAAACCCCAGTGTGACTGGAAATCTGCACAGACTGGTGCAGCACAGGCTGAAGGAAGACGGAGTTCTTCTGGTCCATCTTTACACGGTTCCATCTGAGAGGGGGCTGGACACGCAGAACTTCAAATGTGCCGGTCTGTTTCAACCACTTCATCTTTCCTCATTACAGTTTGACGCATTAGTAGAAGATCATGCATATTGCTGAAGAACTTGCTGAAAAACAGCTGAAATTAGCTACAAAAAAAACCAACATGCTGAAATGTAGCTGAAATGAAAAACCAAGACTTATTGAGCAGAAGAAAGCAGAAAGAACACATTTAAATGAGCACAAAAATAAAAAAAATAGTTAAAAAAGATGAAATTATCAAAAAAATACCTGAAAAGTAGATGAAAAGGCTTCTGCTTAAACTACTAGAAGGAAGCAGAAATAGCTGAAGTGAGCTAAAAAATGTGGAATTAGCTGAAAATGCTAAAATTAGCATGAAAACAGCTAAATATTAGCTCAAGTAGTAGAAAAAGCTGCAACTAGCAGAAAAAAGCTGAAATGAGCATAACGAGCTGAAATTACACAAATAAGTTAAACAGGTTGAAAGTAGCAAAAATTACCTAGAAAAACTTGAATTTATCTGAAAGCAGCTGAACAAGCTTAAATTAGCAGAAGAAAGCAGAAAGAACATGTTTGCCCGGTTAGGCTGAAAGAAGCAGAAATAAGCGCTAAATAAATTGAAATGATCTGAAATTAACAAAAAAAAACGTCTCAAAGGTAGCTAAAAAAATATAATGAAGCTTAAATTACCAGAAGGAAGTGGAGAGAACATTTTTGTTTAAATAAACTGAAAAATTTGAAATGAGCTCACAAAATTGGAATTAGCTGAAAAGGCTTAGGATAAAACAGCTAAATAGTAGCTGAAATAGCAGATCAGAAAAAGCCGAACCTTGCAGAAATGAGCTGAAATGAGCATAGCAAGCTGAAATCATCAGAAAGAAGTTAGAAGAAGCACAAAAGTGTTGTAGTTAGCAGAAAGAATCAGGAGCACAGAACACATGAAAGGAACTGAAAGTAGCTGAAATGTTGTTTAAAATATCGTTTTTTTATCAAATTAAGTAGAGACTATATATATATATTTAAATAAAGAGATAAATGTTATATGTAGAAAAATGTGTGCAGCCAGTACAGTCTGTTATAAATATAATTTCAGTTGCTTTGTTTTTGATAGAACATTGTAAAACTCTTGTTGCTGCTCAATCAGATGAATTTGTAATAATTGTCATTTAAAGGCTGTCCCAAGCAGATCGGGCCCTCCCTGGGCAGAGCCAGACTCTGTCAGTTTTCAGGCCTTTACTACTGCGACAGCTGCCACAGGGGGGACGCCGCCATCGTCCCCTCCCGCATGGTGCACAACTGGGATCTCACCCAGCGAGAGGTAAACGCAGCACGTTCACGTCGGAGAGAGGCGTTGCCGGTCGGGCTGTGTCCTCACGCTGTCCGTGTGTGTCCAGGTGTCAAAGCAAGCTCTACGCCTGCTGGCTCTGGTCGACCAGGAGCCTCTGCTGAACTTGGAGCAGCTGAACCCCAACTTGCTGAAGCACTCCGAGTCCATAGCTCAGGTGTACAGCCTGAGAGAGAAGCTGCGCCTGCTGGGGGAGTACCTGCGCACCTGTCGCAGCGGAGCCTGCAAGAAACTCCAGGCCCGGTGGGTTTTATACAGAACCTCCTTTTAGTCCAGCCTCGGGAAGCTCGGCAGCAAACGCAATTTCAGCGTTCCTGTTTTTAATATTTATTTTTACAATCAAACCACTTTTCCCCACAACACGGTTTGTGCAGAAACGTTCCACTGAGTCCGTTTTTGTAACTTTTGTACTTTTAAAAAAGTTTTTTTTTTTTTTTTTTTACAAATGTTTTCTTTATAGAAATGCTTTGAGAACTCCAGCTCCTTCAAAAGCATTAAAAAAAAAAATCTGCTTCAGTAAACTGCTTCTTTTGTTTTATTAGGCTACATTTAGCTTTTGGCTACTGTTCTGCTACTCTTGCTTAGTCTTTTTTGCCTTTAGCTTCAACTACTACTCTGCTACTGTTCTAAGTTTACCTTGTAGCTAGTCTTTTGCTACTTTTAGCTTTTAGCCAACCTTTTGCCTCTTTTAGCTTCTAGTTAGCCTTTTGCTACTTTACTGCTTATAGCTAACTTGTCACTGTTTCAGTTTTTAGCTGGACTTTTGCTACCTTTTAACTTTTAGCCAACCTTTTGCCTCTTTTAGCTTCTAGTTAGCATTTTGTTACTTTACAGCTTATAACTAGCTTGTCACTGTTTCAGCATTTAGCTTGTCTTTTGCTACCTTTATTTTTTAGCCAAACGTTTGCTTCTTTTAGCTTCTAGTTAGCCTTTTTTACTTTTAGTTAGACTTTTGCTACTTGTTTTGCTTATAGGTAACTTGTCACTGTTTCAGCTTTTAGCTAGTCTTACTACATTAGCTAGCCTTTTGCTACTTTTAACAGATGTTTAGCTACATTTTGACCATCTATTTAGCCTTTTGATCATTTTAGTTTGCATTTTGCTATTTGATTCTTTTAGCTACTCTTTGCTACTTAAGCTCTAAGCTACTCTTTGCTACATTATGTATCCTTTTGCTACCTTGAACAAGCAATTTGCTACTTATAGCATCCAGTTAGCCTTTTGATAGTTACCCTTTTGATACATCAAGCTTGCTTTCTGCTCCTTGGGACTTTTAGCTAATGTTCTGCTTCTTTCAGCTTTACCAGTTTAGCCTCCGCATCAGGATTCACATCATATTTTCTCAGAATACGTATTTTCTTCCACTCCTGTCTTAATCTTGTTGTTTTTCCTGATTCGTCTGAAGGATGGGGCAGAGGACGTACCTGCTGGAGTCGAGCCACCTGTACAGCGTCAGAGACCTGAGACAGGTATCCGTCTGACTCGCAGCATGAGCTCCTTTCTCCATTCGTGAAAGAGCTAAATGTTTTTTTTTGTTTGTTTGTATTTACAGATAGCAGACGGAGAGTTTGCAGCCTTCCTGCTCACGCTCGTGCAGGCCGCCTCTAATCACGTGTTCAACTGTGACCTTTGCACTCTGAGGGGCTTCATTTGCCAGATTTGCCACTCTGACGACATCCTCTTCCCCTTCCAGTTCGAAAGAATCATCAGGTGTGTTGTCTTTAGATTCACGTTTTTAATGTCCATTAGGGATGCACGATATTATCGGCAAGGTATCGGTATCGGCCGATATTAGCGATAAAGTTAAATATCGGCCATTCCATCAAAATAATTCACCAATATAATGGCACTTTTTATATATATATAATATATTTATATAGTGTTACATCATTTTCAGCCCCCTTTTTTGGCATCTGCATTTGGTAGCAGACCAAACTGACAAAGATCGTGCAGAATAATGCAGTATTTTAATTCCACAGCAGAGAAAGCTGTGTAGTCTCTGTAGGTCTAGGGCAGGGGTGTCGAACTCGCTTACAAAAGGGGGCTAAAATTAAAACCTTTTTCAAACTAACGGCCGGTTTCAGAATCTTCATTAACTGGAGTTAGATACCCAACATCTTTTCTTGGTTGCAGGTTCCTCAGAAAAGTTTGATTGGTCTCATTTGATGTTCTCTGTTGCACTTTTGACATCATAATCAAAGATTACAGAAAAAATAACATCTTGAGGGCCAGATAAGAGGTCAACGAGGGCCACATTTGGCCCCCGGGCCTTCAGTTTGACACATATAGTCTAGGGGAAAAAATATCAATATTGGTATCGGTTATCGGACAAATAAGTTTTAACGTATCGGCATATCGTCCAAAAATCCAATACCGTGCATCCTTAATGTCGGCTCCTGAAGGAATGTTGGAGCTGAAAATCCCTTTAACCTGAAACCTTGTTCTCGTCTCTGAACCAGGTGTACAGACTGTAAAGCTGTGTTCCACCTGTCCTGCAAGTCCAACAACCAGCCTTGTCCTCGCTGCCAGAGAATGAAGAAATACCTACAGAGGGAACAGCAAGACTGAGCTGCAGCTTTGTGGGAACTTTGGACCGCCGGCGTAAAAAATAAGCGAAAGGAAAACTTTAAGCGTTCGCATGAAGGAACCTCAAGTGCAATTATGAGCACGGTTTGCTCGTCCCGACTGTAACACGAAGAAAAGAGGGTGTCGGTGCCGCAGTAGCTACATGTTTGCACTAATTTAGAGGCGCGCACGCTGACGAGACGCAGCCGAATGCTTTGAAACCTCTGCAGATTCAGCCACGGAGTCCAAACAAAAGCAGGACAAGTCGTTTTGTTTTTTACTTTGTGTTGTGTTTAATTCAGCGCTCATGTTTACCACACTCTTGTTGACGCTGACCCTCCCGCTGCATCCGGGTCGAAACGATCCACGAGGCCTCGCCTTGCGGACTCGAGCCGGAGGCGCGTTAAAGGAAGAAAGAAAACAGTTGATTTTGACCGTGCCTTCTTCTTTTCCTCCTTTGAAGCTGGTTTCTTCTCGTCACATGCCAAAACGCATCGCATAACTTTTTATTGTAAATAACCAAAAACTTATATATGAATAAACGTCTCAACACAAAGTTGGGGATTTACAGAATATTCGTTTTGCTGCTCGTGTGGTGGGACACACTTATTCAATATTAAAACGTACTGTGGTTTGCTAATGAAGGTTTGGGGGTAAATTATTATATTTCAGTGATTCTGGGGTGAAAATAGAAAAAGCGTATTTTGCACTAAACTGTCACGGTTTAATAAATATTCCAACTGGAATATCTTCCACGGGAAGTGATTGTTTTATTTTTGCCTGTTTATTTTTTGGACTTTAATACCTTTTTAGTAATCTGATCATTTCTAGAGACTGCCAAGAATTAAAAAAAAAAAATCCTTGCGTGATTATTTATGATCTATGCACAATGTCATATTCTTGGTTTGTACTTGTTTTACCTGAAGTATAAACAGTCCTGATGAAATAAACGATTGTTTTTCTTCTTTTTAACCTAAATGCCATTTAGATGCATCTTGTGCTGCTGATATCTCCTAACTTTGAAAATAATTAAAGGTTTTTGAGTTTTAATGTCAACTTGACGGAGACCGTAAATGTGTACAAAGTGCTTTTAAGAGTCATCAGGCTCAAAACCTCAATTTTTGAGACAAAAAATGGTGAATGTTGATTTGCTTCCTGTTGTCAGCCTCTCTGATTATTTAATCTTTTTAGCACTGAGGCGATGACGTGATAGTTCTCTTCTTTGGGAGTTGGGTTCTTTTGGTACCTGATTTGAAGGTTTTGTGATTTGGCGCCAAATTTGAGCAGAAATAACAAGTGACGTGCAGCAAGACTCTGAGGCAGCGAGGAACTGATTTTGAAGTCACAAGCAAAGAGATCAAAACAATTATTCATTAAATAATCTTGAATTAATTCTGTCAACCTGGAAATATCCATTTTCAACGCACCAGTATTCGAAATGTCGTGATTTTTTTAACAAAAGCTGTTGAACACGATGAGCACAAATAACACTCAACAGGTAAAAAATATAGCTGAAGCCAAACAACTATGCCTCATCGCTTGGTCACACGTCTTTATCTCCTTCCATTTGAAGCCGAGTCGACCAATCACAGCTTACGTGTGCACGTAGCCAGCCAATAGCGTGCCTAACGGACTCTTCGGGACACGCCCACAACAGACAGGAACAAGCTTGTGAATTTTGTTAGTGGCGAAACCTAATTCTGCTAACAGTTTACAAAGTTAGCAACAATGCTAATATACCAAACTAAAAATTAGTTCGGATATCAGCCGTTAGCGTTTCTGTGCCCACCAAGGGGGGGGGGGGGATCCCGGGGAGTGAGGTGGGTTGGACTCCCAGATTGTCCCATCTTGATAATAATTTAAGGAAACTATACTTTAAAACCATATAATTTTATTAAGATTTAATAATATTTGGGGGCTGAGATGGGGTAGACAAGAGGCAGGGCAGCTGACTCCGGACCAGAAGGTCGCGTTTCGACTCCCAGCCATTCACATGTCTGAGCAAGACATCCAATCCCCAGTTGCTCCCCAGGCACCACAGCTGCCCACTGCTCCACCTGGGTGTCATTTATGTGGGCAAAATGATGCATTTAAAACTTCTACATCGCAAAATGTATTAAACCAATGTCTGCCAGACAGGGTACGGGCCCCTCTAGGCCCCCTCTTGGTGGCGCCCCTGCGACAAACAGCCGCAGGTGCTGCTGATTACTTTTCATTACTTTCCAACCAGGGCCACCTGTTGGAGCACAAACGGCAGGTTATATAGATTTTCCCATAAATGGACCTTAAAGTCGTGACGTTTTAAATTCCCACCACGTGCGTCTCGTTCCGAGCTGAAAAGCTTCTTCCTGGAAGCTTCCAGCTGATGGGAGGAGTGGAACAGGACGGCAAGCCTGAAAAACCCGTCCAGACCGATCTCCAGCTTCCAGTCGGAGCAGCAGCTCTTCCTCCTCTGATCCACCTCTCCTGCTTTTAAACCGATTTTTAAATTTTATTTGGAGGCGCTGGTTCAAACCCCGGCCTGGGATGGATGCTGCCCTGCCTGTGAGCCGGCTGGACAGGAGCGACCACACGGCGTTCATCCACAACAACACCCTGTTTGTGTGGGGAGGGTACCAGGTGAGCTGCTTACCTGTGCAGGTGGGCTCAATCAATGAAACCGCCTCAGAGCTAACATGGAGACTGACGGTCTCAGGAGCAAACTGTGGTTTTTTTTTTAATCTTTTCACTTGGATTTCCTTTTTAATTCTACACCAGCCTGCACCCTCACCAAAACCAGGTTATTGAAGACCCTCAGGAGGGAGTGGAGGGAGTGATTTGCATGATAGTAGCGCATTAATTTTCAGAGGCAAATAAAACTAGAGAATTTGCATTTCCTGCAAAAATGCAGCGAATGCTTCTTGCTGAAGAACCTTATGGGGGAAAAAAGCTGAAATGGCTATAAACATGCTGAAATCTAGCTGAAAAGGAAGAACAAGCCTAATAAGTTAGCAGAAGGAAAAAAGTGGAAATTACCTTTTTAAAAAGCTGAAATTTCCCCCCAAACAGCTGAATATTCGCTAAAGAAATGTAAAAAAAAGCTTAAATTAAGGAAGTGAAGTGAGCTTAATTGTGCCCACTAATGGTGAAAGAAGCATAAATTAGCACAATAAAGCTGCAAAAAGCTGAAATTTGCCAAAAACGGCTGAATAGTAGCTAAAACAAGCAGAAAAAAGCTTAAATTACCAGAAGGAAGTGAAGTGACTAGAATTGTGCCCACTAAGGCTGAAAGAAGCCGAAATGTGCATAAAAAGTTTGAAATTGTACAGAAAAAAACAGAAATTTCCCCAAAACAGCTGAATATTCTCTAAATAAATGTCGAAAGAAGCTTAAGTTTCCAAAAGGAAGTGAAGTGAGCTTAATCGTGCCCACTAATGTTGAAAGAAGCATAAATTGGCACAATAAAGTTGAAATTATCTGCAAAAAGCTATTTGCCTAAGACAACTGAATAGTAGCTAAAACAAGTAGAAATAAACTTAATTTAACTGAAGTGGGTATAGCGTAGATATGCTGAATTAATCTAGAAAAAAGTTAAAGATTAAAAAAAATATGGAATTGTCTGAAAGCACAAACGGCTGAATGTTAGCTGAATTTTCAGAAATGGCTGACTTCAACAAAAATAAGCTGAAAGGAGCATAACAAACTGGTTTTGGCAGAAATAAGTTGCAAGAAGCACAAATGTTGGACTTGGCTGAATAAAGCTGAAAGTAGCACAAAACAGCTGAAATTAGATGTAGTAGATTTTAATTTATTTTTTTGCACAAGGAAGCTGAAGTTGAACCGGATCTAAAAGTAGTAAAAGGTTGTAAACGGATCAAAAGTTATGAAAGATGTAAAAGCAGCTCATGAATTTTCAGTGTGAATTGAGAGCTCTTTAAGATTAGAGGCAAATAAAATAAAATAAACCTTGAAACTTTTCTGTTTGCCGTCTCGCCCCGTTTTTATCTGGATGTTTTCTCGGCAGGTGGAAGCTGGACAGGATGTGGCGTTGCCCAGCGATGAGATATGGCTGTGTGATTTGGACAGCGGGGCGTGGTAAGGAGGCCGTATCAGCCGAGATGTCGCCTCGACCTGCAGCTGAACATTAAAGCATGTGCTGCGGCTCATTTTGATAAAGAGCTGCTTGGAGACGTTTGTTTTCCTCAAGTTTTGATAAGTTTAATCTTTCATGGCTCAGACGTATTAACCCTTTCACTTCACTCCGTTTTCTTTTGATGGGAGACAGGCAGAGAAAGGAGATGACCGGAGACGTTCCCTCAGCCTTGTTGGGTTTCTGCGGCTCCAATGTGAACGATCGGCTGTACGTCTTTGGAGGTTGTGACTCTGCAGGGTACTCGAACCAGGTGAGACTCTGTGGACGAGGTAAAAGCTCGCTGGCTCAAGTCCCGGAGTACACGGGGCTCTAATGCCGAGCAGACGCCTCCGTTTTGTAGAAATTTGCCAACTTATTCTTACCTCTAAACTAGCTATTTGAACCACTTTTCCATGGGCTCAAATATATACATACACCCCACTAATTGGCATGATACTACCACCACCATGCTTAACAGTTGGTCTGAAAGCTCGTCATTGTGGCCGCACAACTTTAAATTTTTGTCTTGTATCGGTTAAATAAACTTCTCCAGAAGATGTTGGTCTTTTTTGGAGCTGCTTTCTCGGAGCGTAGTGTCTTCGCTGTGGACAGGACGGGGACTCCAGCGTCTCGGCAGTTTCCAGCTCACGGCAGCCTTTAGTTGTTGAACGTCCGAACTGGTTTGTTTTCATCCAAAGGCGACCGATGAGTGTTCAAACAAATTCTTACTGGCAAACGGAAACGACCAGCTGCAGTCAGTCACGATCACTTACGAGAAGTTAGTCACTTTATCAAAAGATTTGGGTGATGTAGTTGAGCTTAAAAATGTAATTTTGACCCAAATGTAGACTGGAAGAAACTGGAAAAATTTAGATTTGTGCCCCAAGTTCTTAATTGAAATCATTCCACCCCTGAAAATGATTCAAGTGATTAAAAGTCCAAACTTACTGACGACCATGGCACAATGAGTGGGTGTACCAGTGGCGTAGTGCACGTGATACTCGGGCATACGGAGTATACCCACTAGAAAAGCTTAAGAATTTCAATATACCCAGTTAAAAGTGCCAGATGAGACGTGACATACCATTAGGCACGTGTCCTACGTTAAACGGTTAAAACGCTTCCATATCTATTGGTATGCAGCGCTTTGCTTTGATACGGTTTTATAAATTCTATAACACGTTTTTAATACAAAGATTGTTGTACATTTATTCAAATATAAGCGTCAGAGAAATTTTGAAACGTCCAATATGCTTAAAAATCAAAATAAATTGACGATTACATTGTACTAACCAGTGTACTTTGGTTTCCAAGCACAGTATACCCAGTACAGAAATGTAGACTACACCACTGGTGCAAACGTGTGACTGCTGTCGGTTCCAAAAGTTCAATCTTAACCTGATTTTTAGAGCTCATTTGTTGTCGGCTAAACTGCTGGCTTGGCTCTACAGAACCTCTGGTGAGGTCGGTGAACAAGGCCAGGCTGATTCTGGCAGATCCTGATCACCCACTTCTGGCTGGGCGGCTGTGGCTGAGTGGTTAGAGCAGTCGTCCTCCAATGCAAGAGTTGAGGGTTTGAATCCACCAGCTATCACATGTTTAAGTGTCCCTAGGCGAGGCCCTGAACCCCTCATTGCCTCTGACGGTGTATGAATGTGATAAAGCACTGATTAGTCTCTATAGAATAATTTGTTCAGTTAGCTTTGTAGCGATCTAAAGTGCTGTATGGGTAAATGAGGACACGGATTGTAAAGTGCTTTGAGTGTCTCGATGAGATGGAAAGGTGCTAAATAAGTACAGTCCATTTACCATGTACCCACTCCATGGTGAGTTCAGGTTGCTTCCATCTAGACGCAGGCGCCCAGATGTGGAGGAACAGACTGAAAAACTTGTCATCCCTGTAGCGATCGGGCTTCTCAACAGATTTAGTTTAATGTCTCAATGTCTTGTATGGATGTTTTGTGTGAAACAAATTGCCCTTTGGCGATGATAAATATTGAAACTGAACTAAACTACAAGGAATCTGTGGCGCAGCTCGTTTAAAGAAGGGGGGGTAATTTGATTGTGTTCAGAATAACTTCAGTCGTGTTCGCAGCTTATTTGAAGCAAGTGAAACCTTTTAAAGCTCCACCAGTTTAAAATAGGGCCCAAACGTCTTTGTTTTTTATTTTTTAACTTTCGTGTCCTTGAGAGTATCTAACCCTCTGACATGACATTTGCAACAGGCTCCATATCTGAAGGAAACAACTTTTTTTAAAATACTCATTTGTCACAAATTGAGCTTAAATGTTTCAATGAGCCAGAGTTTTTATCAGCAGTTCTTTAGGTTTCCCAACATTATTTCAAAAGATTTGGACTTGGGCTTCTTCTTGGATGTTCAGATCTTGACATTTTGGTTTATTCTGGTCCTCCTTTGTACTTCCATCTGTGCGCAGAGGAGTTGCTCCTTTCATCCGCCCCGTTCCTGGAGGGAGTTATTGGAATTCCTCAGGAATTTCCTCCAACTTGTCACCTGGGCTCGAATATCAAGAGATTAAATTTTTTGTATGTCAAAGGTCAGAGGGGCATCACAAAAACAGGCTTTTGGCCCAGATGCAACAAATTGTATTCAAGTTCTACAGAAACTTAATTCAGTTTGTCATTCAACACAATCACTTGAGTAATTTTAGCTCGCGTTCACACACGAGTGAATCCTGAATCGCTTGTTTTTAGTTTAACCAGTTGTGTAAACCAGTTTTTCTGGCTTTTCTTTTTTTTTTTTTTTGACCTGACATGCAGGAACTGAAAAGCTGACGTACACGAGCGAGGCTTTATTTCTAGTTTTAATTCCTTCTGTAAGACTTTGTTGCATCATTACAGTGCATCTGCTGCTATTTGTACCTATTTTTATGTGCTTGTTTCTATTGTACAGCACTTTGGTTGGTCTTGTTGCTGATTTAAGTGCTCTATAAATAAATTGGCTTGGTATTATTGGTGTTTTCGATGAGGAAAATATCTGGGTTTGTCTCCGGTTCAGATGTACTTCTGCTCTGAAATGTGTTTTTTTTTTTTTTTTTTTTTTTAAGTCCTGGAAATTTATTATTTTTTCTTTAAGGTTGGACATTTTTAGTTTTTTCTCCCTCAAACTGAATGAGCTGCACTAACCAGGTTGTTCTTTAAAACGGGTAAAGTTGACAAATCCTTGCCATTTGTATGCAAACTGAAGGTTGCGTCACATCTTGAGCATTGCATTAATAAAAAGGCAAATAAAAATTGGCAATAAGTCATTGCTGTTCTGTTGCGTTCAACTTGTGATTAAGGGTTTTGCTTTTCCAGATCAGGCAGATTTGGTGCGTTTTAGGTCGGTCTGTTCATTTCAGAACTTTGCTGGACGTCATGCGCACACAAACTGTCCAGGTGTAGCGAAAGAGGACGTTCTGTTCAATGCAACCTGTGCAGAATTGGGTCCAACACGTCTTGACACAATGAAATATCAAAACCTTCCTTACACACGTCAAAAGTATAATCTAGTCTCGATCCGTCTGTAAACTTTGATCTTGTTGCTGTAGATCTGTTTCGCTGTATAATAGTTTGACACAGTGGCAGCTTGTCAATAGAGGGTGCTAGGATGCCACCTCACCACCATATTACAGTGAAGGCGTTAAAAATTTTTTTTAAAATGAAATGTTTTATGTTAATGAGTCAAGTTTTTCAAAAACGCTGTCCCTTATTGATGTATTTCTGCTCTGGGGCGCAAATATCTTTGCCCTTAGACTCTGGTTAAAAGTTGCACATGTGCAGTTGGCTCCTCTTCTAGATATAGACTATTCTTGGCGCAGCTCTCCTGCGCCCAGAGTATGGGCGCACTGTATGGATCATGCTTCCAGTCCTGGGACAGACTATGCAGTGACACTTTTTTTAATTTTTTTATTTAATCAAATGGCAAGTATACAACAAACAAATGAAGTTTACAGAAGAATACAGCACTTGCGTGAACAACCAACCAGGGGTGTTGGACAAATGTATTCAAAGATTAACATATAGGGATTGTCCTGAGGGCCTTTTCTTTGGTAGTCCTACTGATTTAACATATTATAATGGATGTCTATTTTGGACTTATAGCTTCCCCCCCCCCCCCCCCCCAAAAAAAAACCTCTACCAGCCCCGCACTGGTTTGACACACGTACAATGTGCTACATGTGGGTCTCCTGTTAGATTATTTAAAGCTCCAAAGAGCTGATCTTAAGGTTTTAACATTTTGTGATCTAAAACAAAGTCCGAGCAGCTGGAGGGATATTTCAAAGTCCTGTTTACTGTAGAGTTTCTGCTTGCAGATGTTCAGCGCTGACGTTTCTCAGCCGTGCTGCTCTTGGACAAGACTGACGGACGCGAAGGGGACGACTCCCTCACCCCGAAACAAACACTCCTGCTGGGTGCACGGAGAGAGGTCTGTTCTGTTTGTGGGAGCCTGAAACGCATCACAGATGTTGACGCTGCTCATGGAGCACAAACTGCTGAAAGTGTTTTCTTTAAATGCTGAATGTCTTCAGGGAGCGATTTGAATATTTTTCTGCCATCTTGGTTATTTGAATTAATGGCAGTAATTGTTGTTGCAGGTTGATCTACTTCGGTGGGTATGGATGCAAGACGATGGGGGACGTGCAAAACTCTTCGTCGTCCAGCTTCATCATAGACGACATGTCCTGGGTGAATACTAACCTCTGTAATTAACTCCCTGCAGCCTTTTCAGTTTTTATGCTCGGGTCTTGATGAATTTAATTGTTTTAGGCAACAATCGGAAACACTTTGTTTCGATGCTGGGGGTGGAACAACGAGGTCCACGTTTTTGATACTCGGACCTCAACTTGGAGTAAACCTGACACTCAGGTGAGCAGAACAGGTGAATGTGACTGTTTTTAAACCCTGCTGTCGACAGAATCGCCACCTTGACACCGGTGGATCATTTGGGCCCCGTGAATGGCTGTCTGCTGCGGGATTCAACCCTCACAATTTGACCTTGGGGGTGGGGGGTGGGAGAGGAGTCAGGCTAAAAGCAAAGACCTGGATGGAGGACGACTATGTAAAACGAGTTGCCTCACCTGAAATAAAAACTTGTCCTCCTGAGGCCAGACCTGTTGGGTGAGGGGCTCAACAAAGTGTTCACAAGTTAAGAATAATGGAGCGTGAGGTTGACGGATGTTTAACTCCTTTCAAACACGCCCAGACACAAGTGGTTTCCTCAAACTGATGAATTAAGATTTGGTACCTGAAAACTAAAGATGCACAAAATAAAACTATTAACTCTTAAGAAAAATAAACTACAAATAATATCAAACGCTTGTACACTCGAAGGAAAACAAAATATAGAAATAAAACACACACCTCATTGGCGGTGTGCTACCAATTTTTTTCAGTTTCAGCTTCTTCGAACTCTTGAACTTAAAAACCTGTGCTTACTTGCCGATACTCGCATCATTGCTACTGACCGACTTGTTATTTTCACACCTGAATACAGCACCAACTACAGGTGGAATGTAAAACTACATACAATAAAACTGTACAAGCCATTTAAATGTAAAACATAAAATAAACTGGCAGTTACAAGATGTATTGGTGCACCGTCTGCAGTATTGCGTACTCTGTACCAGTCCGTTGTAGTGAAGGAGCTGAGCTGTAAAATAAAGCTCCCAATTTACTTGTCGGTCTACGTTCCTGCCCGCACCTATGGTCAAACTCTGGGTAGTGACTGAAAGAAGAGAGGATGAGAAGTTCAGTTATCCGGAAGAGACTGAATAGAATCACTGCTCCTCCGCATCGAAAGGAGCCAGTTGAGGTGTTCAGGCATCTGGTAAGGACACTCCCTGGGCGCCTCCCTAGTGCGGTGCTTCAGACATGTCTGACTGGGAGGAGACTCCAGGGAAGACCCAGGACACACTGGAGACGCTGTCTTTTGGTTGGCCTGGGAACACCTTTCCTGGAAGAGGTGGCTGTGGAAAGACGTCTGGCCCTTCCTGCTCGAGGTGCTGCCTCCATGACTCGACTTGGGAACAAGCGGAAGATGATGGATGGATTTATTATGGACATCTTTGCGTTGCATACTTTACACACTGGAATCAAAAGCTGTGCAGAAATGGTCGGTCTGTAAAAACAGTAAAAATCCACGATACTTGACCCTACTCTGGTCGACCCAGAGGGGTCTTCATTGGTGGATTTCGCTTGTTTCCAACTTGGTCCTTTTTTTGGAGGTTTTTTTTTCCCCTAATTTCTAAAAACAAGTCCCTTTTTTATAGAAACTCTGTTCCTCGACAGAAGTGACTTCTGAAATCAAAACAAACTCCTGGGATTGTTGGTGGATTATGACTTTTCCTCAGATTCTTTAACCGGTGGTGGATGTAACCAATGTTAAATGGTGGTTTTAATGTTTTGGCTGATCTGTGGGTGCGATTGAAGTGTGTTGTCTTCTTCAGGGTCCTGCTCCTGATCCCAGAGGCTGCCATGCCAGTGCCCTGCTGGGGAACAAAGGTTACATCAGTGGCGGTGTGGTGAGTTCACTGATGAAACGGCCTGAGGGCCACAAGAGTGCGATGGTCTTCTGTATCCAGCCGCTCGTTGACAGGAAACGTTCGTGCAGTGATGTTTTAAGATGGAGTTGTACAAGAGTAGGACTTCCTCCTTTGTGGGGACGGTTTGCGTCTGGCCCTTTCCTGTCTCGGCAGCTCTTTCCTGTTGTGACGCGATGGCGCCCCGTGCACAAAAACAGATTCTGTGAATGTTTAGTCCTAGACTGTCCTGCTGCATCTGAACCCCCCCACCCACCCCCATCACCTCTAACAACCTTAAGAGTCTGAGATGGACTTGATGAACGTCTCGTCGTTTGAACACAATGACTAAAATTAGAGGCATATCTTGAAGGAATGAATGCCCCTCCGCTGCATTTCAAGTCATTTTTAAGACTAAAATCAACTCGTGCTTGTTGAGTTGAAGCTGTTCTGGTCAATTAAGTTGTGACCCTCGGTGCATGTTGGGAAATGACTCTCGGCTACGGCCACAAAGTTTAACATCTATAAAACTGACTGAGCTTTTACGCCTCCTAATGTAAATTAGCCATGGAGGCCATCTTTGTTTGAATTGATTCCAAAAGTTAGTTTCTTGGTATACGTCGAATCATTTCAAGTTTCATTAAAATTCCTTCGGTGGTTAATGAGATTTTGCTAACAAGCACATGCGCTCATGATGATCGGCGGAGCAGAGTAACCAAAGTGGCCGATTGTTTACGGGTGACCAGACGAGGCTGCTTGATCCAGTTTGCTCCTCGTTTTCATTGATCCCATCTGTTTGCAGGAAACTGCAGCGCTGGACATTTTCTGCTTGGACCTCGGGAGCTGGACTTGGACTAGATTGTAAAACGTCTTTCAGATTAAGAACGTCTTTTAAATCTGTTATCTATTTTTCTTACATCGTACTGCTTATTCTCAGCGACTGCTCCCCGTCCTGTGCACCTCTGGGCCGCTCCATGCACACGATGACCTCCACATCGAATGGAAACCTCTTTGTTTACGGCGGCCTCGGCGTAGATGGAACCACTATGAGTAAGTGAATGACTACAGAGAAACTGAATTTCCTGCGAAAATGCAGTGTGAATGCTTATTGCTGAAAAACATGCTGAATTGGAAGAAAAAGCCTAAATTAGCAGAAGGAACACGTACAGTATTTGCTGAACTGGGTTTAAATGAGCAGAAATTGGCATAAAATAAGAAATTGGCTAAAAAACAAACAAACAGAAAATTGCTTAAAATTTAAGAAATTGGCGTCAAAAGCTGAAATTAGGGAAAAGTAGCTGAAGACAAAAGCTTAAACTACCAGAAGGAAGTGGAAGGAGCTGAAATGTTTTTTTTTTTTGTTTGTTTTTTTAAAGTGGAATTTGCTGGAAAAGCTAAATTTTGCACAAACTGCTAAAAATCAGCTGAAATGGCAAAGTTGAAACCAACAAAGCTGAAAGGAGCATATCAAGCTGCAATTAGCAGAAACAAGTTAATTACTGGTCGGCTGAAAGTAGCAAAAATTACCTTGAAAAACTTGAATTTCTGAAAATCGCTGCAATTAGCTCAAATGCTAAAAAGCTAGCTGAAAAGGTAGAACAAGCTTAAATTGGCAGAAGAAAGCAGAAAGAACACATTTGCTGAAAGAAGCAGAAATGAGCACAAGTGGGGAAATGTCTGAGAAAAAAAAATCTTAAATTGGGGAAAAACTGCTGAAAAGTAGCTAAAAAAGTAGAAAAAGCTCAAGTTGCAAGAAGTGGAGAGCACATTTTTGCTGAATTAGGCTGAAACTATTGAAATGGATGCAAAAAATGTAGAATTGGCTGAAAAAGTTTACATAGCATAAAAACGGCTATATAATGGCTGAAATAGTAGAAAAAGCTGAAACTTGCAGAAATAAGCTGAAAGAAGTGTAACAAGCTGAAATTAGTACAAAGTTGAAATCAGCACAAATGTTATTTAGCAGAAAGAATCAAAGGAGCATAAAACAGCTGAAATTAGCTGCAAAATAAATTACATTTGCACAAGGAATCTAAAAGAAGCTGAAGCAGAACAAAATGTGAAAGGAGTAGTAAAAGACTGTAAACGGATCTGAAGGAGGTAAAATAAGCTCAATTCAGTTTCTATGAGGACAGAATGACAGAAAAGCTAAATATTTCAAAAAGCTAAAGTTGCACCAATACCAAACATCACCGCAGGATTTTCCTGAAAGAGCTGAACGTCTTGAGAAATTTGAAACGGCTTAAATTGTGGGAAAAGAATCGAGCCGAACCACATACAGAAGAAAAATATTAAACCGTTTCGTGTCGGCTGAATCCAACATCTTGTGATTTCTGAACTCTCCAGGAAAGGAAATGAAAAATCACTTGGTCTGATAAATTGATTCATGGGATTTTCTTTATTTATTTTTAAGACGATGCTTGGCAGTTCAACACCCACGGACGAGAGTGGATGAAGGTGACGCACCCTCACAAAGACAAGCCCAGGTGAAGTTCAGTACCTTTCAGCTGTTTTAAAGGCATGGTTCATGTCTTTAAGAGTGGGGTTCTGTGGAAAGATCAGACTAATATTTTGCCTGTTGTAGACGGCTCTTTGACCCATCTCTGCTTTATTTATGTGCTTAACGATTAAAGTAGATGAAGCTATAAAAAAAAGTGAAACAGAATAAAAACGACTTGAATCAACCTCAGTGTGGAGAAAAGGTTTCATTCAAATCTAACGGCTGCAGTTCAGCTGCTCATGCAAACTTTATTTAATAAACAAAAACGAGTTATTTTCTAACAACTGAACATTTGCCCATGTAAATTGTGGCGGCGGCAGCTAGCTGTAGCAGTTCCTGTGCAGGCTGGAGCACTTTGACCATTTAAAGAAACTGGGTTTGACTCTGCGTTGAGTTTATTCTGGCCGAGTTGATATTCATGGTCAATCAGAAGGCCATCTGCAACAGGTAAGATGCTGACCTTTTGACTGAACCTCTCTGAACTAAGTCTCACTTGAATAATTTACACTTTAGAACATTAAAACATTTCAGGGTAGCTTTTTATTTGAACCTGTTGGAGGCTTCATGTTGCTGCTTGTGTAGAGTAAAAATCTGTTTGTTTTCCATAAGGGTTTGTCACACGGCTTGCTTGGGAAGTGACGACGATGTTGTTGTGTTTGGAGGAAGCAGCAGCCTCTGCATCCACATAGACACGGTACGAGACTTAAAAAAATTAAATGAAATTCATCTTTAAACACTTAATGTTTGCACAAAATGTTGCCTGGCTATTTCTCTCTGCAGACATTACGAGGCTGCAGCGTTGGTCTGTCCTTGTTTTTAATATTTTGCACGTTTTAAACTGCATTAGTGGGCGAACCAGTTGAAACTGTTCTGATTAATTATCCAGATGTTTTCAGGATGATGAAGGAACACATGAAGTAAAGGGCATTCCATCCTAAGCTTTTTGCCTGCTGCTTTAAACACGCCTGATTCAGTGATTTAATTAAGTTCTGCAGAAGCCTGTTAATCACCCATTCATTCAAACCAGGTGTGTCAAAGCAGGAAACTACTAAAACTTGCAGGATGGTGTTCCTCAAGGACCTGAGTTGGGAACCACTGAGTTATTCAACATTAACCAAAACGAAAAATATTACCACTGTCAGTTTTACACATTCAGCTAAAATTTAGTGTAGTAGCAGCTGAGTCATTCACAACACTTAAAGCACTAACAGATTATGCTATTCTTTAAATCAGGGGTGCCCACACTTTTTCAGCCTGCGAGCTACTTTTTAAAACTAAGTCAAAGTGATCTCCCTACTATTAAACCTCGTTTACATGAGAACAACCTCTGGAAATGTTGGCATTTCAGTGTTTATTGGAGGTAATAAAGAAAAAGAGCAGGTTTACATGAAAAACACTGTAGTTTCCATGTCAGTCGGGTTGCCAGATAAGAAATTATAAACTATGGCTTTAAAATCGTGTTTCAACCTAAACATGTGCACTGGGTAAATATATTCTAAGATGAGATATGCGTTTGAACATGGGCACAGAAAAGGAGGGGGTAAAAAAAGATGAATTTTATCTGGCAAACCTGATGCCGGACTCTGCTGCATTCATCCCCCCCTGAAAATCTCCATTCTGAGACATGACATAAAAAAACTCATTGGGCACCCCTGCTTTAAATTTTGTAAAGCAAGGCAGTGGGCGATATGCATTCCTTCAAAAAAAATAAATAAAATAAAAATAAAAACATCAGAGCTATGACTCATGACAAAATGATTTTACTTTTTCACACGTGTTAAGCCTAAGTATCAAACATAATCATCATAATTCTTCCGACAAGTTTGTAGCTCCATTTAACTTATTTAAACTAAATTTTCAACTGTTTAATTTTTGCCCTTGATTTTCAGGTGGTAGTTCTGAGGTGTCCGTCATCAAATCACTGCAGGGACGTTTTCCTGTTTCAGACCAGGCCGTACTCTCTCTGCAGGTAACTGATTTTACTGTGAACGGTAGCTGGCAACGCTCACGTTTGTCTCTGCTCTGCGTTGGCAGGACGTTTGTGTGAACGAGACCTTCGAGAGGTTTCTACTCCTGCTGGTGTGCTAATGAGCTTACTGTACGTGAACAGGCTCGTGTTGGTCAGATTTAAGGTGTTGTGAGGTTTTTGTGCCCTGAACAGGAGGCGATGTTCTCTTTAAGGAGGAAAAACCAGATTTAATCGTTCTGGACACATTCGGGATCGGTTTACACGTTCTAAAACGTTTCAGTTGATATTTCGAGCCTCCTAACTTCAACTAAAAACTAATATTTTAGAGGAAAATTTAAAGAACTTTTTTTTGTTCTCCTCCAATTTGGTGAACAAAATAACTCATTTTGTTTTAGCCCATAAAATGTGCTAGAATGTACTAAAACACTATTTATTACAGGACAAATAAAATCTTACTGCGTGCATTAACAAAAGATGGTCTGTAAATTAATTGACCCTAAGGCAATTATTAAAAAACAAACAACAAAAAAAAAAAACACACGACGCGATTGCAAATTTATGAATCCTTTTTAATCTTGGAATGTGGGGATTTCATTAGTCTTGCATTATTTTAAAGAGTTGTGACAACAATGAATTGACTGAATTGAACATTTTAGCAAATGAGGCTTTTTGAAATTGTGCCATTAGTAGGCCTGTCACGATAAACAAATCAATTAATCACATAAATGAAAATTATTGATCTCATTTTCATTTATCGGCTTTATAGTTTCTTCGTGCCTCTCTCTTTCTACTGAAGACACTGGATGACAACTCCCGGTGCTCTTCACTGACCCCTCCCTTTCTCTTAAAATCAGTTTTTTAACGATCCAAAATCGTGTTTGGTCCGTTAAAAGCAGTTAAGCTACGAGCTAAGCTAACAGGCCGACCTCAGTCTTGTCAAAGCTCGAATTCATGGTCAAAATCCATTTTTCTTAGACAATGTGCTCACTCCCTCACTATCCATCCTTCAGTTCAATCTTATACTACCACCTGGTGGTCAAGAAACGGCACTGCACACAAAAATTACAAAATTTCTTCTTAAATTTGACAATTATTAATTGTCAAATTTCAAACAATATTATCGGTTATCGCAATAATTTCGGAGACGATTAATCGCCCAGCAAAATTTATCGTGACAGGCCTAGCCATTAAGAGTAAAATTAGCAGTTTTCAGTCTTTCATTTGACTCTGGATTAAAATGGTGACCGATGGCTTTTAAAGGGTTTTAAATGATTTCATTGTTTAGCTTCTTGTTTGTGGATCCGTCTCCCATTAGCTCATAAAATTCTTTACTTTTAATGCAACATTTTGATTATAAAAAAAAATGTTTGATGTAAACTTCAAAGGCTGAATATGCAAAAACTGAACCCATGAGGTTATCGGAGCAGAAATGGTTCTTCACCAAATGTAAACGGTTAAAATCTGTTTAATCCAGGTAGAAAATCCAAAGTTCAGTCAGGTCCTCAGGACAGCTTTTTTTTTGAGCTGTTAAGTCCTTCATCCAAAGGACTTTATCTAAATTATCTTTAAACTATAAGGGCAGCGCTTCACAGAGAAGCTGCAGCCCCCGTGCACCCGTCTACCCTCGTCTATGGACGGCTGCACTGAATGTATTCTCGCTGCGTTAACTGTGCAACAACAAAGTTGATTCTGATTCATTGTCCGAGGAGCCACAACAGACTCACTCCCACAAGCAGCACACTCATAGTGGACCAACCAGTTTGCTGGGGATAATGGTTTCTGGGGCCTGCCCTCTTCCCAGTCAACTCCTGAGAGGCAGCCATGGCCAAAGCGGTTCAAAACATTAAAGGACATTTGAAAAAAAAAAAAACATCCAGATGACCTGACTGGATTTTCTACCTGGATTATTGAGCATGAACTTTGATGTTTTGAACCACTTTGGTTATGGCTGCCTTTAGAGGAGTCTACGAGGGAGAGGGCGGACCCTAGAAACCATTATATCACCAGCAAACTGGCTGGTCCGTTATGGGGGTTTGCTGCTTGTGGGATTCAGTTTGTAGTGGCTCCTCGGACTGATGAAGTCCTTTGGATGAAGGACGAAACATCTCGACAAAAGAAGCCATCCAGATGACCTGACTGAACTTTGTCGGTTAATGTTGTTTTTTTTTTTTTTTTTTTTTTTTTTTGTTCTCCTTGGATTCTCCAGACTGTGTGAGGATTTCATCGGTGGAAACTCGGAGCTCCTCAAGCAGCAGCTCGACTGGCTGCCGTCAAAACTTCGCGACAAAATCAACGGTAGAGTCGCCTTTTTCTCCGCCATGAAGCCGATCGTGAGCGCCTGAAGGGAACGTTTTTACAGCAACAACCCTCCGAGCCCGTCCTGCTTCATTTATGTGCGAAAAGTAACTTTAAAATGAGTTGGGCTACATTTTTAAACTTCCTAATTTGTAAATAAAGACTTTCGTTTTAAAAAGAAACTCTGTTTAGGTTAAGTTTTAGTCTGTGAATAATATTTTGAATAAAGCTGTTTCATATTTCTGTGGTGTTTATGCCTTATTTTTAAAATGCAGCTGGAAACTAAAGAATACAAGAAAATGGATGTGAATCGTAAACCAGTGCTGAAATTTAGAATTAACTTGATTAGATGATTTAAACAAGCAAAAAATGTCAAATTGTTCCTAAAAGGCTAAAGCTAAGATGAGCCAAATCAAAACTAAAGCAACTAGCTTTAATTTAAACAAAGTTTAGATGAGCAATATCAAAATTAAATCTAGAAAAACGATTTAAGATGAGCAAAACCATTGCTCTAAGCTAAAACGGGATACGGTTTCTAAAAGTTAAGCTGACTTAAAACTTTAGCTACTTAGCATTTAGCTAAAATTTAGCAAACTAAAGATTAGCAAAAAAGGTGAAGGGTAAAATTGGCAAGATTAAAGTTGAAGATTAACATTGAAGGCAAAACTAATCAAATATGAAAAATGGGGCAAAATTGATTTAAAACCTGTTTTTGACTGAAATGAAAATATTTTTTAACAAGTTAAAATTCATAGCCTTTAGTTCCTGATTGGGCTGAACGTTTAAATATAAAAATTTTACACAATGAAGCAAAAATTAGACAAAAGTCTAAACCGTAAATGCAATAAAACCTTAATTGTAACAATGTAAATTAAATTCATACCTTGATACTTGAAAGTCAACTAGATCAGCTCTTCTACATAAAATGACCATAAGGTGAATTTTGCCTGATTATCTGAACTACTGTTGGAAAATGAAATGTGCTGTCGGTTCACCCACTTCCTCGTTGATTAAACTTTTTCCATTTCAGACTTTCCTCCTGAATCAGTCTTTATTTTCCCTTAACTCATAAAGACAAAATAATTAAATTCAAACAAAACTGCAGGAAACCTTCAGTGATTGGCGTTTTTAGTTTGCAAAAGACTATTTCAACCCCCACAACAGGAAGTGGATGTTTTGGCTGGTTTCTCGTCTCAAACTGGTCGGACGTAGTTGGCTGGGAGCATGCCCCGCTTCCCCGTGCGCCGGTTGCACCCGAACATCCACCCCTCGTCGATCTGCTCCACGTCTAGGATGAGATCGCCCTCCTGCAGGGAGACTTCGTCCGCTTCTGCTGCCGTGTAGCTGTACAGCGCCTGGAAGTGCCTCTGAAGGACAGGAAACAGGAAGTGACGAGCAGGATTCATGTGGGTAACATTTCACCGCTGAACACTCGTTCATCAGTTCACACAGCCTGGAGGAAAATCATTTGGAGAAGTCTGCGCTGGACTTTTAGTTCACACATGACCGTTTTCAGATTCTGTCCTTGTTGATCCGAACTCTGACCTGTGACCCATTTAAACTGAAGAAAGCTCCTAAACCCAAAATATGAGCCTGCGTTGAGACTCAAGACGATTTGGCAACAAACGTAACTTTAAATTAGGTTCTTGGGCTCACTGGTACCAGTAGCCCGTCACAAAGACACTTGCTTATATTTATCTGAATTTATGAAGTGTCACGCTGGGGGCCGCAGCCCCCCCAGAAAATTGAAGAGATTAGGGAGACAAAAAAAAGCAAAAATAAAAAATGGTAATTGCTCACCAGGGCAATCTGTATCTGTCACTTCCAGATGAACAGACTTTAGAGGTTAATTTCTTTTTTGTTCTTCTGGTCAACAATTTGTTGAAAATTTTTTTTCCAGTGGGAATATAATGGTGTTTAAAACATTTTAGGCTCAGCGCCTGTAATAATTGAATATAGTGAATTAAAGTTAAAACTTTGTTTCTTTACACATTTCATACCATAATTTGTGGTTTTGCAAGGGGGGGCCATGGCATGGAAAAGTTTGCAAAGTGAGTCAAAATGACTTTGAATGAATATATGAAAGTCTGTCATCTTGCAAGAGGAAACAAAGTAATCGGATGTTCCAATGCAACACATTTACCCTTAAAGGTTCTACACAGTGGATTTATTAAAAATATAAACGTGGGACTGCAACAAAATTAACGTTACGAACAGTTGTCTTCCTCCAATCAGGTTTAAATTTAAGACATTTTCTGCTTGAACTCATAACTGATGTTTGGATGAAAACTGAACTGCTTTTTGATAGACGTTTCGCTCTCTATCCAGAGGGCTTCATCAGTCAGTTGCCTGGAACCACTTTGGCTGCGGCTGCCTGCCTGGGAGGAGTCGACGGGGGACAGGACGACCCCCAGAAACCATCTTAGCTCCAGCAAACTGGTTGGTCCACTTGAGGAGTTTACTGCTTGATGGGGAAACAGTTTACTGGAACTCCTCAGACTGATGAAGCCCTCTGGATAGAGGGCAAAACGGCTCTATAAAAAAATAAACTGTCCAGATGACCTGACTGAGAATTAATGGATTTGATACCTGGATGATTGAGCATGAACTTTCTTGTTTTAAGTCTCTTTAATTTTTACATAGTTCACCTAATTTTTTTTTTATGACTCATAGACATGATCTTCAGTGGGTTTTTTACCCGTCAGTCATACAGGTAGGTGAATTAAACGTGCAAATCTGTAAATTCACCGTTTTCATTTCATTCTACCACTGAGCACCCCCAACACATAATTTATCAGTTTTTAGACATGAGCTTTGTGCACAAGTGCAAGCATTGCATCATAAAACACTCATTTTGCTGATAAAATTAAGTGTTTGTGCAGTGATCCTACCCCTCCACCAGGTGGAGCTACAGCAGCAGGGCGCGCTTGTCCCGCAGGCTGGCTGAACCTCTCCGGGTTCGACTCCTCGCCGTCTGCACAGACACAGACATGAACGGTGACGCGCACGTTCAGAGTTAAATGAACAGGAGGGCTGAAGCAGGTACAGGCGTGTTTCACCTTGTCTGTTCTCGGGAGGAGGTGCGTCGCTTCGGACCTTGCTCTTCTCAAACTCTTCGTGGTACTTTATCTGCACAGACGAGAACTTTAAGTCCACAAGAGGGCACCGAGTTCCTGCATTCAGCTGTTCAACCCCAACACGCTCTGCCTGCTTTTTAGGAGGTTCAAAGGCACTAAGGACAGCAGAACATTTGGGTCATTAATGGAACAGGAGGTGGAGGAAACACGAGGAGAAAAAACCTCTAACTGTGTCTTTATCCCTCAGGAGGAGTAAGCAGCAACAGGATGGTGTGGGAAAGAAAGAAAACAACATGGAGCCCTTTTGACTTATAGACCATTACCCATCATTCCTTTCTGCAACTGGGGCTCTCATGAGAGCAAATGGAAATGTGTTTCAGTGTGGTATTTGTGTGTGTGTTGGGTTTGTGTCCACAGCTGAGAGACTTTGACCATATAGGGCAGCTGCTCCTCGGTGGACGGGGAGAAATGTCAGAAATGTGCCTCTGCGTCTCTGCAGGATCCTTTCACCACCAGCACATTTCTGCTCTCTTCCGCTCACGATTTTATACGCCTGTATCTAAAAATCCTCCTGAAACGAACGCTTGTATTGCACCACCTTTTTGGCCAATGGAAAAAATGAGCAGGCTTGCCGCTTTTGTTTAGCAAATTTGTAGGGAAGCACGATATTATCGGCATGGTATCGGTATCGGCCGATGTTAGCGATAAAGTTAAATATCGGACATCGGCCATTCCATCAAAATAACTCACTGATATAAAAGGTGCTGTTCATATATATTTTATATACATTTTATATATATAAATATGAAAGGCGCTGTATGACAACCCAGTGACAAGGATGCTTGTAGTGCCAGCACAAGGTTATGACGTCACGCGCACCGTTCGAGTTTAGATTTGTGACAATTTACAAATTTGCACTGTTCGAGTGTTGTCATTGTGTTAGAGTAAATGTCATGAACAAATTTGACATTAAACATAATCCAAGTTGAAGTGTTGCATCATTTTCAGCCCCTTTTTGGTAGCAGGCCAAACTGACAAAGACCTGCAGAATAATGTACAATAGTCCCCCGTTTATTGCAGGGGATCCGTACCCTGAAGCCCCGCGATAAGTGAAAACCACGACGTAGTAGTACAAATAGTAAGTAGTAGTTTATTTTAGTGTGTGTATGTATGTATATATATATATATATATAAAGGTGTTTTAAACCCTTTCCATGCTTGCAATGTTCTAAACAAAGTTTCTAAACGCTCTAAAAGAGCACATAAGGTCATGATTTCAGCTCCTTGCCTCTGCTGTTCTTAGCCAGCTGCAAGCGCTTTTGGCCACGCTCACTTCTATGCTTTGCATGGCGATCAGCTGATCAGCTGCAGCAGGAAGTTTATCCAGCAGTGTGGGCTGCACAAAGCTGCAGGAGGAAGCTTTGTCTGCAGCTCTTGGCTGCACAAATGTGCAGCAGGTGCTAGATAATTTAAAATAATTTGTTTTAAATAAAAATTCCATGCCAATCATGCGGCTCATTCATCAATCAGCCAATTGTGTGTCATGTCCAATCTTATTTTGAAAAACCGCGATAGAGCGAGTCCGCGATAAACAAACAGTGAAGAAGCGAGGGACTACAGTATTTTAATTCCACAGCAGATAAAACTATGTAGTCTCTGTAAGTAGATCTAGGGGAAAAATCTGTATTGGTATCAGTTATCGGTTATCAGTTATTTTAACATATCGGCATATCGGCCAAAAAGCCAATATTGTGCATCCCTATAAATTTGTGATTTTAACATAGGAGTGAGCAGAAACACCAGAGTCGTACTCACGTTACTGATCTGGTCCTGAGTCTTCTTCAGTCTCTGCATCTCCGGGGTGTCGGCCACCACGCTGAAACCTTTCCCCTTGTTCTTCTCAAACTCCTCCTTGTACAGAGCCTGTGAGCATATGTTACAGGAATATTTAGATTTAATAACGTATACTTGAAATCAATGCAGAGATTTGGTTTCAGAGGCCACCGTTTCTGAATCGAGCCATCGTTTCTATTAGAACAAGAGGTCGCATCATCCGGCTTTTACTGAAAGAGTTGACTGTATCAAGTCGTGAAGCGTCGGAGCTCATAAACTCTTGAACCGCGAGTATCAGAAGACTCTGTTGGTCACGCGTGCAAATTTTTATGTATGTACAGTTTTGTGTTGGAGATATAAGTTGGAAAAACCCTTTGTTTCTGGTTTTAAAGGGACTAACTCAAATATACATGAAGTCTATGGAAGCTCTTGGTACTCAGGGGAGCTGTAAGTCTTGCAGCAGTGAGAGTCACTCGGGGTGAAAGATGGCAAAAATGTCTACGCTTTGATGTATAATTTATCGTAACTGCCGCCGTACACGTTGCTTTGCCGTATCAGTTGCATCTATTACGCATCACCGCTGACTACCCGGAAACGTGGGCCGGTGTTGTGCCAAAAATCGATTGGTTGCCAAATGGCGGCCGCGGGAGCGTGCACGGGAGGACTTTAACAAGAATTTGACAAGAATAACACTTAAAAACAATTATTTGTTTGCTCGAAATTATAGTAAAGGTGTGTCTCAGTTCAACTTTTCCTTAATAAATGCACTTTAATCGTCAAATCAGCTGCATTTCACCTGGGCGGCGCAGCGAAATGCAGCTGATTTGCTCCAGGAGTTCCAGAGCGAGACGAAGGTGGCTTCGTATGGCAAGTCAAGTGTCTCATTAATAGCCACTTTTGCTTATTATTGAGACACTTGACTTGCCATATTAGTCAAGTGCCCTCTAGTGGCTGAAAATAGTAGTGTTCAATATTTTCCATGTCAGAATGAATGACATAATCAGATCTTAGCCAAAAATTGGGTTATAAATATGGGAAGAAAAATTAAATAAGTTGCTTTGCTGTGTAAGTCACAGGTTATGCTAATTTAAGCAAAAAGGTTTGACTTTTACAGCAAAAAATACGGTATGTACTTTGAAGGTTGTGGGAGGAAGTAAAAAAGAAAAACTAGTGCAGCATCAATTGTCAGTAGGGATGCACGATCCACTTTTTCACTTCTGATACCGATATTTGAGGATTAGTATCGGTCGATACCGATCTGATACAGAAAAACAGTGCTGAATTAACTTAAAACATTTGTTTTATAAAGGCAGACATAAAAGTACTGAATTACAAATTTATTGAAAACTGCACCAGTACAGCACATTAAACACACCAGTAGCTTCACAAGCTTGGTCAAACATGTAAAAACAACACGGCTTTAATTTGTTCAGTCAGTGCAATTATGAGAATAACATCAAATGTAAAATAAAAAATAATAAAAATACTGAAACTGACAAAAACAATAGGTTGACAACTTTGGTCAAACATGAAAAAATAAACTTCAACAAACATTTCAAATGTTCAGGAATTCTAAATGTAAAATAAATAAAAAAGGAGCTGAAATATGAGGAAAAAACAATAACTTCACTAGCTTGGTTGCCAGATATTTAAAATAAACATTAATCGGCTCCTGTCCTTATGGAGCGGTCACATTGTCACGATACTCGATCCAGATTTTATTTTATTTTATTGTCCTACGATGTACCGCTACTAAAAGTCGAAGCACATGATTCCTGATTGAACAACACATCCTCATATCCATTTTGCACAGTTTTCAAGTTGTGGAGTGTGAAAACGACACAAACTGTGAGTAATGTTAACGCACTGAGGCATCGGCTGATCCAAAGAAAGAACCTCAATAATTTTTCCCAGGGTGGGTGTCAGCAGCCACGGTGAATCCTTTTCTCCTGTTGGTTTTTAGTGTTTATTTTCAACTGGAATTCAAGGATAAATTAAAACAACAACAACGGTTTAACAGATTTATTTAACTGTCCACAACGCTGAAACCCATAAAAACAGTCGTGTGAGGATTTAAGTGACAATTTATCAGTTTCCTGTGAGTTTAAACTCTGGGGGAGCGTCTGCAGCTTTAAACAAAGCACAAGTGTTTATTTTAAAGTAAGTCCGAAATCCTTGCGCGCGCACACACACACACACACACACACACGAGTGAGTCACGTTCCTGCTATGAGGATATGCTGCTCCACAGAAAGAGACTTTTATGGTTATGGAGACATGAGAAGGTTGGATGAGAATGAGAGACTGAAGCAGCTTTCGGCTGCTGTAGCTTTCGGCTGCTGTCAGCTCACCATGCTATCGTTTGAATCTGAAGGATCCGTTTGTTTTTCGTGTTTGACGCGATTTGAAGCGAACGCGGAGCGTTGAGGCGTTCGTGTTGTTGCAGCTGCAGTGAGGAGCTCCTGAACATTCTTTTATGGTTTCTGGACGTCTCCCAAAAAGCTGCAGTTTGGAGGAAACGCTCCGGATGAACTTATTGTATCATCCCTGTTGTCAAACATCACGTGGGCTTTACGACCAAACAGAATAAAGTTCTGATGTTCAAAGATCTAACACTCATTGAAAGAATAAAGTTATCTCAAGAAATGAAGTTAAATCTGTTTTAATCCAACCTCATGATTTACGTTTTTATCATTTAGTGCTTGAAGTTTGTGTTGGAGATGACTCAGCTACCACAACAAGATTTAGCTCTACGTTTGGAAAACTGACTGACTTATAGACATTTTTGTGTTTGCTAACGTTAGCTGTGGTGGCCATCTTGAATTAGGCTGAAAGATCCCCACAACAAAATGTCATTTTGCAAAAAATGAAAAAACAAAGTACAGTTGCTCTTTGTTGTAGCACAGTTATTCAAATGAACTATTTATGATTTGTTTTCCACCTTCTTGTGATAAAATATAAATTGTAGCGCTTTATGAAACAACGGGAAATTAGATTAGGCCTGTCATGATAACAAATTTTGCTGGGTGATTAATTGACTCAGAAATTATTGCGATAAACGATAATATTGTTTGATATTTGACAATAATTAGTAATTATTGTCAAAGTTAAGAAAAAATGTTGGTAATTTATTTTGAGTGTAGTACCTTTCTGACTCCCTGATGGCAGTATAATACTGTTTGAACCGAAGGAGGGATAGTGAGGGAGCGAGCAGCGTGTCTCTTTAGGAAAATTGGGAGGGAGGCCCCTTGACGTGACATGGGCTGTCTCCTTCCTTTTTTTGGTTCTCAAAATGGCGGCCGCTCCGTGTGGTTTGAGCTCTTTAGCATTTTTCACACAAAGCTTTTAAAAAAAATCAGTAAACAAGTTCTCAGCTACTTTTTGCAGAAGAAACAACTTTTTACACGAAGGCACTGGTTTCAACCGTGAATTTTGGAACTTCGACAAGACGAAGGTTTTTTCCCGATGTCGGCCTGTTAGCTTAGCTTCTCAGCTTAACTGTTTTTAGCAATCTAAAAGTACGATTCTGGACGGTTAAAACAGATTTTAAAAGAGAAAGGGAGGCGTCAGTGAAGAGCACCAGAGTTGAGCCTTTTGTCATCCAGTGTCTTCAGAAGAAAGAGAGAGACACAAAGAAACGATAAAGCCAATGAATGAAAATGAGGATAATTTAATTTATCATGTGATTGATTTGTTCATCGCAACAGGTCTAGCTTAGATTATAACAATTTTTTTTTTGTTCATAGAATCACGTTGACTAAATCAAGTCAAACTAAAGCTTTAGTTTGAGTGTTTTCTGATTTAATTTTTAAAATAATCCCATCATAGTCTGTTATAGACAGATCCTACAAGCCGCGTGATGAAACGAGTTAAAGAAAGTAAGCGGAAAGAGGCCGAGGCCCGACCTCACCTGGCTGTTGAGCACGCTCTGTTGCTTCAGACGTAAGTTCTCAGGAGTGTCGGCCACGATGGTGAAGGAGGTTTTAGGATAGTGCCTGAACACACAAAGAGTGACAGTCTTTTAAAATACACAACAAAAACAAGAAATCAACAAGAATCGTTTGTCTTTAGAGGTCAAAAGGTAATAATCATTTAGACTCACTTCAACCTCTCAAGGATTGTCTTAATTCAATTCAGACCAGACAGAACAAGCTGAAAATGGAAATAACATGGCTGCCATGTTTTTCTTGCATCTTAGTTCAGCTGGTAAAAAAAAAGAAAGTCATTTAAGTTTTTTCCATTTTATTTAGTCTTTGCGCCAATTTATATACGTGAACAATGTCTGCCAAATCAAAAGAAAACTGTAAAAGTCTACAGCAGCAAATAAGCTGCTGATTCGCTGTGAACGTTCACACTTCCTGTTTCCAACACGCTGACGTTTCTCCCGCTCATTTGTCTCGTGAACAAACCTCTTGTGTTATGATGGAGCGCGAACGTGATTAAAAAAAGAAACGCTATAAATTTAAGGCTCCCACGGACTCGGGTGGACCGCAGACGGTTGAGACATCATACTCGAGCGCACACCCTGACCGGCTGCAGACCAGCTCCGCAGGAAAGGGGCGTTTACCTTCGGGACAAATTGAGATCGCCGATTGGTCATTTGCTGACACGCCTACTGGACTGATTGACAGGTCGCAAAAAAAACAAACAATAAAAATGAGAGCTGGCAACAAGCGGCAGCGGTGTTCTGTGTTGATATGTTGTTAATAAAAAGTACAAAAAACAAACAAACAAACAAAAAAACAGGGAGCGCTGGCCCTGCAGCCCACACATCAGACCAGCCCACCAGGAAACCTCCAGACCCTCCTGCAGCCACGCTGGACCTGAGTTTAATTCACTCGTGACAAATTCCCTAATTTCTCACCATTTCAGTCATGAAGTCAACGGAGGAGGAAGAGATCACTTGCCTCTTGGACAAAAAACAAAAGAAAAGGCCATTAAACCAGATCAGGGATGAAGAAGGGAAATTTAATGCACTGGTGTCGCAAACAAAACAATCCGTCGCCGGGCAGTTTATTGTGCGACACAGAGTGTGCATACGTAGTCGTAAAAATTTATCTTTGCGCAGACACGCCTTGTTGGCGTCTGCTTCAGGTCTAATCCGTGGACCTCCGTGGACTGAGGTCCACCTGAGTATGTGGGAGCCTTTACACATCCATCTTATATGGCTCATCTGCAGTCAGGTCGCAGAGGCAACAGGTCCAAGAAATAAACCCAGACCTCCCTCTCCCCAGCAACACTCCAGCTCCTCCTGGGGGATCCCAAGGTTTTCAGCCAAGCCACAGTGGATAAGTCACTCCAGTGAGTTCTGAGTCTGCCTCGGGGCCTCCTCCTAGTGGGACATGCCTGGAAAGCATCCTTATCAGATGCCTGAACCACCTCAGCCGACTTTTCCCTATGCAGAGGACCAGATCCACTCCGAGCCCTCTGCAGAATTGCCACCATAATGTTGTGGAGGGGTTTGAGTACCCCCATGATCCTGTGAGCTATGGTATATGGGGCATTAGCCCCTGGTAGGGTCTCCCATGACAAATAGGCCAGAGGGGACGGGGTCAGACCAAGAGCAATTGAAAATCCTTGATGGATAAACATCAATCCAATCAGGAAACCTTGTGGGAAACCAAGGGACCTCCTTGAAGGAAGGCCAGTGGGGGAAGCCTCTGGTGGTCGAGCCTCAGCTCCTGGGGCTCGGTCGGGCCAAGCCAGATAGAAAGGCAGGATGCCACCTCCTTGTGGGTGAACCATCTGCGAGGAGGACCATGGAGGTCGAGTGCCGTACAAGCAGAGCGGCAGGCGAGGGAGGCATCGACCGTGACAAGTCCTGGTGGTATAAATTAGCTCCAGGAACGTGGAATGTCCTCCCATAAATTACACTAATGTAAAATTTAATAAACAATGAGAGCTTGAGCTATAATGTTTGTGATGCCGTGATCTCATTTCTATGCAGACTTTTATAAAATGCAGTCTGGATCAGGTGCCGTCCTGCTGTTTCAGCCATTTTCAGGGTGCGATGTTTGGTGTGAACACTCACATAGTGCAGTAGGGTTTCTTCTCAAAGCCTTTGTAGTTGGTCATACTCAGAGCCATCTTGCAGACCTCGCAGCTGAAACAACCTTTGTGCCAATACTGGGAAATAACGAAGCAAAAAGTCATAAATATTAAGTTCTGCGTGCTTCTTTATAAAACTGCAAAACCTCCAAATGGAACGAGGAACAGATGAGAACAGACTGACTTTACAAAATAAGCACAGTTTATAAAGTAAAGACAGTAAATTTAAACACATGTTTAAACGTTAATGCTACTTTTATACAATTATCTACTTCCTGTAATTATAAAATCACATCTCAGGTTTCAGAGTGTCTGGTTTGGGAACCTCAGGGTCTGGTTTGTGCTTTTTGCAGAAGACGTGGTTCTGTTGGGGGGAGTTTTGTGAACGTAGGATGAAACGAGAGATGCAGTTTTGAGAACAGATGAGAATTTATTATTCCATCTATGTTCCATTCTAGAGCTCGATATTTAAAAAAATATCGAGATATATATTGTATATTGAGATTTATCTTAAAATATCAAGATATTAATTTTGGTCCATATCGCCCCGTCCTATTCCAATCTTCTATGATCACCAAGCGCAGATAAAAGGTTCTCAAAGTTGGGGTCAGGTCCCAGTGTGGCTCACAAAACACCAAGTGGGGGTCCTTAGACGATCTCCAGATATCAAATTACTTTTAAAACGGAGTGTTATGACATAAGTGCAGAAGGAGCTTTGAGTGCAGCCGCTGCTCCTCCTCATCGAGGAGTGAACTGAGGTGGTTCATGCATCTGGTGACTCCTGAAGTCTCCCTCTGGAGGTCTTTCAGGCACATTCCACTTGGAAGAGACAGGACAGACCCTGGACTTCCTGCAGGGATTATATCCACCCTGGCCTGAGACTGCCTTGGAATCCTCCAGGAGGAACTGGAAAGTGTTATTGGAGAGAGGGAGGTAGAAAGCTGTGACCACCGTAACCCAACCATGACAGCCGGCAGAGGATGATGGCTTTATCCTCAGATATCATAAATTAATACATTGGCTTTATTAATGGCTGTTTTGTCTTTATTCTGTTCCTAAATTGATTCAGTTAAAAATTGTTGCATTAATCTTATTTTTTTTACCTTATTTGTTAAGACTCATACATGCTTTAGTGCTTCCTTTGCTCTTACCTTTAAAAGCATACAACTACAGATTAATAATTTGAATTAAAATATTTAATTTCACTAAGAAGCAGCATATTTAAATTGTTCTCAGTGACTTGTAGCATTTTTTTTTTTACAACCTTCAATTTAAATATAGAAAATCAACAAAATACAGTTGGCTTTTAAGAATCAATGCCTAAATATGAGAGTAATTTGTAATATCTTACCTTATCAAGGCAGTTTATTTTTTCTGTTGGATAAACTGGTTTTTTGCATCTTCCACATGCTGGATTCATGTTGGCTCGGTTACTCTATAAAATACAAAACATTAAAAATCTTAACAGGATCAATTAAAAAAGGTTCACAGGGAAAGTTTTTGCAAACACGAGCAGCAGAAGACCTTTTCTGCAGCATTTCATTCCAGTTAATATACAGTACCCGCAGGTAAGGAGGAGCTGCGTGGTGCCTTCACTGACCGTTGAAGTAACGAGCTTTCATTAACCTGCATTGATAAATTACAAGAATTATATTAAAATAAAACAGCATTGACGCTGATAATGGAACAATAAAAATACTAGTGGTCTATAAGATATTACATATTTTATTTTAATGACCTAAAGTTGTTTTTCTTCCTTGAGATGTGGAAAAATATATACGATAAAGCTTTATCAAGATCCGTTAAAAACACGCTTTATGCGATATGTTACCATATGTTTAAACTTGACTCACTGCACAAATACTGTTGTACATTAATTTAACCCTTTGTTTATTTATTTCCGTCAACGATCGTAAAAATTACGGAGTTTAGCGCAGCACCTGAACTTCGCAGTAAGTCTTTCAACGCTGGAAATACTTTCTAAAAGCTAAATTTATGAATAGCGATACGTACACAAAAACAAACAAACAAAAAACAAAAAGCCAAGCTTATTAAAATATAACCGAATAACTTGTTAAGTTTGATCGTCTCTTAGATTGAAAATCGAAGCATGGGACGGAACAGGAAACGAAGGGCGTCCTCTGTCGGACATAAAATACACAACGAGTAAATCTACGTTGGTGCCACGCAGAATTAAAGTAAAATCTTATTTATATACGTCCTTATAAAACATAATTAAATCCTTACTGTTGTGTTTTAATGTCTTAAATCCATAAAAATAACGATAGACGCATCACGTGATAATTTTAGCGTTTATAAGGAAACGCTGCACGGTTGAAACCGACAGCGGGGGTATAGCTCAGTGGTAGAGCATTTGACTGCAGATCAAGAGGTCCCCGGTTCAAATCCGGGTGCCCCCTCTTTTCCCATACCGAGATATGGTTTTTCGAAAATTCGTTTAAGAAAACTTTTGAACACACACACATAATTCTCAAGTAAATTATTTGTTATTTTGTCGTTAAATCAAATCTCTTATCAGCCTTTCCGTACCTCTGGCAGTGAATGGAAGAATCACATTGTTTATTTTGATGTTCATGTGAGAACCCGTAAGAAATACTGTACGTCGGAAAATAATAATAATAATAATAATAATAATAATAATAGTAATAATAATAATAATAATAATAATAATTGGTGAGTGCCACCCCACCCCCCACCCAATTTGAGTTACGGAGAGCCGGAGCTGTGTCTGCTTCTAATAAAGACAGCGTTTATAATAAAATATGAAATCAGTGTTTCATTGTGGGCTACATCAGTGTTTTTCAAAGTGGGGGCCACAGCCCGCCAGGGGGGGCCCAGAAAGCTAGAGAGAAGAAGAAGGGAAAAAAAAGCAAAAATAAAAAAAAATAGTCCGTCCATCCATTTTCTTCCACTTCTCCTGGGTTGGGTCACGGGGGTAGCAGCCTAAGCAGGGAGGCCCAGACTTACCCCTCCCCAGCCACTTGGTCCAGCTCCTCCGGGGGAATCCCGAAGCGTCCGGCCAGCCGAGAAACATAGTCCCTCCAGCACATCCTGGGTCTTCCTCTGGGTCTCCTCCCGGTGGGATGTGTCTGGAACACCTCACCAGGGAGGCGTCCAGGAGGCCTCCTAACCAGATGCTCGAGCCACCTCAACTGGCTCCTCTCGACGTGGAGAAGCAGCGGCTCTGCTCTGAGTCCCTCCCGGATGACCGAGATTCTCACCCTGTCTCTAAGAGAGAGCCCAGACACCCTGCTGAGAAAACTCATTTCGTCCACTTGTATCCATGATCTCATTCTTTCGGTCACAACCCAAAGCTCATGACCATAGATGAGGGGTAGGAACGTAGATCGATCGGTAAATTGAGAGCTTCGCCTTTTGTCTCAGCTCTCTCTTCACCACGACAGACCGATACAACGCCCGCTTCACTGCCGACGCTGCACCTATCCGCCTATCGATCTCACGCTCCATTTTTCCCTCATTCGTGAACAAGACCCCAAGATACTTGAACTCCTCCACTTGGGGCAGGACCTCCTCCCCGACTCGGAGAGTGAACTCTACTCTTTTCCAGCTCAAGACTACGGCCTCGGATTTGGAGGAACTGACCCTGAACTGAAAATAGTAATATTAATAATAATAATTGCCCACTAGGGCAATCTGCAGTTGACATTTCCAGATAAGCACACTTGAGAGAGAGAGAGGTTAGATTTCTTTTGTTTTGTTCTTCTGGTCAACAATTTGTTGAAAAGTTGATTTTTTTTCTTCCAGTGGAAATATAATAGTGTTTAAAACACGTTAATTAAAACATGTTTATGCTCAGCAATGGTAATAATTAATCAAATATAGCTAATAAAAGTTAAAACATTCTAAAAGTTCATGTTTATTTACATATTTTGTAGCATTATTTGTGGGTTTGTTAGCGTAGGCCTCAACCAGAAGCTAATGCTGTTTGCGGGGGGCATGGCATGGAAAAGTTTGGGCACCCCTGGGATACATGAAGTCATGCCCTCCACTGAGATTCTGTTTCTCTTTATTGTGTCCATGATTCATGATTCCTACAGTCATTTGCTTTTTGTACTCAAGAATTTTTTAATTTTCTACATTTTCTTGTCAAATGCTGCCACCTTTAAGTTATTTTTTGCATGTTCAACCTTTACGCTTCAGCTTTGGGAGCCCATTCTGTTTACACTGATGGGAAATCAATGACTGAATTTGTAATATTTAGTAAATGCATTCTAGATGGAATATAATTTCTGTATATAAACTTTTGCTCATGCCATAGCGAGCTCATTGCAGAGCTGAATGCTATTAAGACTTAATTTAAAACACTTCAGCTCAATTTACCCAAGTCCTGACTGTTTCACACCAAACTGACTCTTTTCACAGATCTGATCAAAACAGTCGTTCATTTGTTGTCAGATTTCCATCAAATGAGATCAGTATCAATCATCAGCTTTTATTAGAAGACATTTAAACAGAAATGTTCGGAGGAATCTTGAACACTAGAATCCATTCATACAATATTTAGTCCCAAAGAAGTCCAAGTTGATCAGTATATTCACTATCAATTTTATATATAGATAACTTTTGTAGATAAGTCCACCAGGCGTTTTTATGAACGACACTCCAAGTTTCATGAAACAAGCAACCAAAAATAAAAATTCAAAACACTCAATAAAATAGATAATGACAGAAATACAGAGTTAGCTGTACAGATTGCAGTATGAAGGCTTGTTTGATCGATTCCCTGACACGTCCTTGCATTGATAAGTTTTGGACAGTTAGTCTTTTCCATCTTGTCATCATCCTGTCCGACCCTCCAACCCCTGGATAACTAGACCCCTGGATAACTAGACCCCTGTGTGACGGCAAACAGCAACAAACAGAAAGCTGACAAGGCGAGCAGGTACAGTAAACACTGTTCAGCCACAAAGGTTGGAGTAAGGACATCTTGTGTCGGTGATCTGCCTGAATGTTCGTATTTATCCACTTTATTATGGACAGTCCTCAAGATGGAACCTTTTCATCACAAGTCTGGCCCGTTTAGTAGCAGTGCTCGGCTTCAATGAAACCTTCCTTCTCGTGAACCCCGAGCTCGACCTCAGCGTAACTGGAGTGGCAGCTCTGGTTGCGAAACTTCATGGAGGGCCAGTAGTTATTTGTTCGTCGCTAAAAAAGAAATAAAACAACAAAAAGTGAGGAGGGTTAAACTTCACGAACTGTGTGAACGGGTGGGTTTTTTTTTTTGTTTTATTTTATTACCTGCATGAGGTAGAAAGGTGGAGCAATCGTGGGGTGTGTGTTGATGTAGTAAACAGCCAACAGGGTCAAGGTCACGAGCAGAACCAATGCAGCGACTACACCTGCTATGATGGCCGTGTTCTCCGTTATCCCGCTGTGGTGCGGAGGAACCGTCTGTAAATCTGAAAAAGAAAAAAGGATTAAGCTAAAAAATATATGTTTGTGTGAGACAACACTAAGTAAACTTTTATTAACATTTGCTTCTTTGGATATTCTTGCATTATCTCATTGTATGGTCTGGAGACAGTGGCACTGACAAAAAGAAAGGAGACAGAACTGGAAGTGGCAAAAATGAAGATGTTGAGGTTCCCCTTAGGAGTGACAAGGATGGATAAGATTAGGAATGAGTAGGCCGGTCACAATAACAAATTTTGCTGGGCGACTAATTGTCTCAGAAATTATTGCGATAAACGATAAAATTCTTTGTAATTTAACAATAATTAATTGTCAAATTTTAGAAGAAATGTTTATTTCTTTGGAGTGAAGTACCTTTTTTGACCACCTGATGACAGTATACGACTGTTTGAACCAAAGGATAGAAATCCAAAAAAGTTCAATCTGGTCCTCTGGACATTCAAAAAAAAAAAAAAAAAAATTAAAAAAAAAAGAAAAAAAAATGTAGAAACGTTTCGTCTCTCATCCGAAAGACTTCCTCAGTCTGAGGAGCTGTTTTCAGCTCAGTCTCTTAAATAGCACCTTCTCAGAGTGGATCAACCAGTTTTGCTGCTGACAACCAAAACCAGCTGATCACATGCTCAAGAAGGACCATCAGCCTAACAATGGATCATTAGCACACTGATGGCTGTTTACTGTTCACAGAGGGCTGAGTGATACTAGCAATCACAGCATTGTAAGAGGG